GAGAAGTAATGGCCGACAAGGGCATCATCAAAAGTGTCTGTGGCTTTTTCTTTAAAGTACCATTTGTTCCTAACTTTGACATGGGTGGAGGAATATCATTACAAGTCTTATATATATATCTTTTATATATATATTTTTTTTGTTATACTCTCTACTTTTGGTTTGAGAGCCAAAGTGGGAGCTTACATTTTCTCCCACCAAAATGCATGATGGCAGACAGGAACACATCTAATGAAACTTCAAAAAGTCTTTTGAGGGGTTTGCCAAAAGAAATTCTGGGTGGGGTTTTGGTGTCCAACACACTCTCAAAAGACACCCAAAAAGAAAACAGTATTAAAGATTTTCTGTAACCTAAAGCTTAGAAACATGGGGTTGATCCTTTTCCAAAGAATTGCTTGTAAAATGCTACAAGAAGCCAACATCCAAAAACCCATCAACCCTTTTCTCTCTTTTTTCCCTAAAACTATTGGTTAAGCACAGTTTAGCAAAGATGAGTTGCACCCTGATCACATGGCCTACAATATCACATGACAATTTGGGTGACTTTAATTTCATACTTTATAAACACTTAGTTTAATTGTCTCACTTTAATCTGTCCTATAAGGTTAATACAAGGGAATATACAACCAAAGGAGATTCCCAGCACAAACATGGAGTTCACTTTACTTCGTTTCAGAGCTGTTAGGCACTGGTTAGGCACTACTTAATCTTGATTAAAGTTAATCAAACAATTAATTAAAGCTAGATCACAAAAAGGTTGTTGCCACGGGTTATTAAGAAAGGAATAAACTTGCGGTTCTAGATTATTGGAGCCTCTTTTCGCTTTGGACACCGACTGTTCGATCCTTTGCTTGTGTGGGTTTGAGTTGGGTTCTGTTTGTGGGACAGCCTCACTGTATGGCAGTACTCTGTTTTGATGATGAATAACAATTGCATTGAAATAACAATTGGCAAAGGACACTGATATTTTCTTGTTTTCTTTTTCTTTTTGATGTTAGTAGTAATATTTTACCTGTTGTATCTTCCTATTTTAAAACCGTCCTTTGCATCAATAATGTTAGCACATCAACAGGACAAAGATGCAGCCAAGGGAGGAAATGAAAAATACTAGGAGTAGCCATGCTTATCAACTCTCTGTTTCTGTGTCATACACCTCTGTACTGATATATTAGGAGAAAAGGAAAGGTCTCCATAGCTGGTGGAGGCCGAAAAATCAGCAATTGAAAAAAATTATAT